TGGATCTCTTTACCGTACCCCCAGTGTCCACATCGGTGCAAGAGGTGAGGTGAAATGGGGTTTAATGTCGCGTCAAAGATTATTGCACTTATATAGCGACGTGCATGTACATGTGTGTGTTTGTGTGGCTGCTTGTACTAGTCCGGACTGATGCCGATTTATAGTGCTAGCTCACTGAGATACCATGCCGCAGTTTAACATAAATACTCCACTCAGACACAGTATACTGACTCTGAACCGACCAGTCCTTGTTTTAGCCCCTTAATGCCGAGCGCCAGACAGGGTAACAACAAGTACCATCTTTATACGTCTTTTGGTATGACGTGGTCGCTCTACCACTAGACCCCGGAGGCGGCATCTCGGTACATGAGGGTCAGTGAATTCGCTATAGTCCCTTGGCGCCACCCTCTGTGGCAGGACCACTCCAGTTTAACATTTCCAATCCCATGAACATTGATTTGAGCCAATGTTACCTGAGAGTGTGTCTTCGAGTGACTCAAGAAGATGGGACAGATACCACTGTGGCGGATCACCCTGTATCGACAGTCAACAACTTGATGCATTCCCTGTTTCGTGAAGTGCCGCCATCTTGGGTGTGCGCGCCACCAGAACCGGAAGTGCCGCCATCTTGGATGCGCACGCGTCACCGGAACCGGAAGTGCCACCATCTTGGATGTGCATGCATTACCAACAATGCCCTCTTCACGCATGCGCAGAACCACTTCCGGTCCTAGAGTGCTGCTACCAACTACTACCCTTTATCAGAATCTTTAGGAATATTGCTCACATCAATATTTTCTACCAACAGAAAAACCGCCTGTGGGTAAAGGTTGAGTCATAGCCCATCCATACAAATTGTTGGCATCGAGATATGATATGTGCGTAGTAGGTTTACTCGAATCATATGGTTCAACTAATTTATCATTGGCCTTGGAATACCTTTTCGATATCATTGATATACCACCTCTTAATCCTTTTTCAACAAACAAGTGCATATCATAATCAGTGAAATTTTTTAATTTTACACAGGTCTTCTTTAACAATGCATACCATAAGAGTCGGTGACTGGAATAGTACCATGCTGGATCCAAGCCGTATTGTTTTAAACATGTCTTTCTAAATATCTCAAATATATCCGCGAGTAACAGTACATGGGTTTTAAGTACAGATCGTGATTATCGCCTAAATTCTTACAATCTAATTTATTCCAAATATTAATAGTGTGTCAATAATCAGCATCAGTTATTTTAGATTCTGTTAAGTTAATAAAGAATGATTCAAGGGGTGGTAATTTTGTTTCATTGAATCTAGACCAATCAACCATATATTCATAAGGATATACACCTTTTCTCAGCAACAAGTGCCGGGTTATCTGATCAATATATTGATTTGTTTGAAGATAACAGAAACTGTACACTATCTATGAATCTATGTCCATTACTTTGCTTTGTTTTCATTTTCCCATCCTTGTCCGTATCGTATATTGTATAGTTTTAGTCAATGAGAATAATATATATCTTTCCATATAATTAGGAATGCACGTTAAACCACCATCAGTCTTCGAGATAGCTTGCATGATGAGATGAGAATCTTATCCTCTAAGGTTATGAAACACAGTAGTATAGGTAATGGGGATTCTGGACCACTTCCACTGGAGCCATATTTATACCCAATTCTGCTACTACAGAGGGAATTTTTTATGCAAAAATGATGATGCGATTCAACGATTGTCATGATTCGTATTAAAAGAATCATCAATATTAATTAATAATGGATAAAATTTACTATAGCACACAAGGATATTGGAAAGGTATAGGAGCAATACAAAAATTAGCCACTGCGGCTAAGGTATCTAAAGATGTGGCCAAGGACTGGCTAAAGGAACAAGCGATGTGGCAAATATACTTACCGGCAACGCTTTATATCCCGAGGAAGAAGTTTGATATTTTTACAACGAATGAAGTTCATCAGGCTGACCTCTTGTTTCTTCCCCATGATAAGGTAAGATGCAAAACATATAAATATGCCTTAACCGTAGTGGATGTGGCTAGTTGCTACAAGGAGGCTGAACCATTAACCTTGAAAGATTCAACAGAAGTAGCTAATTCACTGAGTTGCATATATAAACGTGGACCACTAAAATGGCCCAAGTTATTTCAAGTAGATCCTGGTCGCCAGTTTATGGGATCAGTAACTAAACTATTAACAAAGCATGATGTCGCAATCAGGCGTGGTGAAAAAGAGGCCCATCAGAGTCAAGCTATCGTTGAAAGATTTAACCAGACATGAGCGGAACGTTTGTTTGGCTATCAGTATGGGATTGAAATGAAATCGGAACGATTAAGATCAACCGAATGGGTGACAGGATTATCAGCCGTTGTATCAGAGCTGAATAATGAAGTAACGAGATTAATCGGGAAGAAACCATCCGATGCAATTAAAAAGAAATCTGTGACTTCCGAATCTTCAGCACATGAGAGAGGCAAAGAACAAAAACTGATTGATTCTGGGAATATGTTCTGGAGCGGAGCTTATCCTGTGTACAACAATTTCTTTAGGAGAATGTCCGAAAACATTTATAGCTTAATTATTTTGCTTTTCCACCTCATCAATTTGTGAGATTGGTGTAGGTTCATCTATACCGTCAAGGTTGAGTCCATCGTTTTGGGGATAGCTCAAAGGCCTATCCGGATGTTTGTCTGTGGGGAACAACGCAGATCTTATCATCATTCTTAAACAGAGGATCGCACAACATTAAACAGAAATGCCCTGCCATAGGAACAACTTGTTCTAATTGTGGAGGCAAGAATCACTGGAAGTATGTTCGTAGATCAAAATACAGAGGATCAGAGAGAGGCAGAGGACGTGGAAGACATGAATATAACCACAGATCCCAATCAAGGCCTGGAAGAAAGGAGTTTGGAAAAGATTATCATTACAAAAGGAGAAATGTTTGATGCAGTCGGAAATGAATGGACTGATGACTATGCTGAACTTAGTGAAGAATTTGAAAACTTATGCCTTGAGGAAATAAGAATCTCGTCAGTTAACACTGAAGATGACAGAGACGAAGTATTTGCAAGACTGGACATTGAACTTTCAAATAGAAGAAAAGAAATAAAGACGGAATTGAAAGTAAAAGTGGACACAGGTGCACAAGGAAATATTCTTCCACTGCGGATATTCAGACACATGTTCCCAGCGAAAATGGATACAGTAGGATACCCTATACCTGGATCAGAACAAGCAAAACCTGGAACATTCCTCACAGCATATAACAGAACAAGGATTCCACAGTATGGAGTGATCACATTACCATGTCGCTACGTGAATGGAAACTGGATGCATGCCAAGTTCTACGTGGCAGAAACTGATGGCCCAGCAATCTTAGGATTGAAAGACTGTAAAAATATGAAACTTATAACCATAAACTGCACCATTGACAAGAAAACGGAAGACAATGCTCCTGAGCAGAAGATAAGAGAAAACAGCATCAAGAAAGATGACAGAACTACAAAGAATCTAACAAACATCAAATCAATAGAAGATTTGAAATCACAGTACCCAGACAGATTTGATACCATAGGCAACTCTCCCGGAACATATCATATTGTTACGGATCCAGATGTTAGTCCAGTAGTTCACTCGCCAAGAAAGTGCCCAATTCAGTTGAAAGATGAAATCAAAGAAGAGTTCACAAAGATGGAAAAGAGTTAATCAAAAGAGTTACAGAACCAACAGACTTGGTATCAAGCCTTGTATATTCACGCAAACAAAGCGGTGGATTAAGGATCTATTTGGACCCAAAAGACTTGAATCTAGCCATAAAAAGGTGTCATCATAAAACACCAACACTAGAAGAGATTACCCATAAATTTGCTGAATCTACTATATTTTCAAAGATGGATGCAAAGAATGGATATTGGTCCGTACAACTTGACGAGGAGAGCAGCATGCTGACAACATTTCATAGCCCCTTTGGGAGATACAGATTCCTACGAATGCCATTCAGACTTGTTATGTCACAAGACGTGTTCCAACAGAAAATGGATATCATACTAGAGAAATGACCAGGAACACTCGGAATATCAGATGATGTCGCCGTTCATGGCAAAACAGGAGAAGAGCATGATGCCAATCTTGACAACCTCATGAAGACAGCTAAAGAACATGGACTTGTATTCAACAGCCAAAAGTGTGAAATCAAAGTAAAGCAGATCAGCTTTTTTGGCATGGTATATGATGAGAGAGGAGCTCACCCAGACCCAAAGAAATTTGAAGACATTAAGTCAATCAAGACACCACAGACCCCAAAAGAATTACAAGAATTCCTTGGCATAGTAAATTACATGGGACCATTTGTACCAAAATTGTCACAACACACAGCTTCACTTCGTGACTTAATCAAGAAGGACTCAGAATTCTGCTGGTCCGAATCCCATGACAAAGACTTCGAGAGAATCAAATCTCTCATATGCAAAGAAGGCACACTGAGCTTCTTTGATCCAAGCAAAGAGACAGTGATCCAAGTTGATGCATCCTTATGCAGACTTGGAGCAGCATTAACACAAGACGGAAAACCAATAGCATTCACATCAAAGAGTCTGACTGACACTGAACAACGGTAGGCCAACATTGAAAGGGAATTATTGGCAGTTGTATTTGGATGTGAAAGATTCCATACAAATGTGTATGGAAAGCCATTTATTATAGAGACAGACCACAAACCCTTAGAAATGATCAAGCTGAAGAACTTGACTGCAGCCCCACCAAGATAACAGAGAATGCTTCTACGTCTCCAAAACTATGATGTCAAAATCAGATACAGACCAGGAAAAGAAATTACCCTGGCTGATGGGCTATCAAGACTACCAAACAATAAGAATACAAGAGAAATTCACTTGGACGTCAAGGTTAGCCCAATACAGTATCCATCAGACAAGCTAACAATGCTAAAGTCATGCACAAGTCAAGACCAAACGCTCAGCGAACTACGCGACATGATTGTTGAAGGATGGCCTAGCACATTCAAAGAAATACCAGGACCAATCCGCCCGTACTGGTGTTACAGAGATGAATTATCAGTTGAAGATGCAGGCCTCATCCTTAAAGGAGAGAGAGTCATAATTCCCCAAGAAATGCAACATGAAGTACTACAGAAGATACATGCAGGTCACCAAGGTGCAACCAAGTGCAAGTTGAGAGCCAGATCATGTGTATTCTGGGATGGAATAAACAAAGATATTGATCAAGCTGTAAAATCATGCCCTACATGCCAAAGCCATCAAGACTCACAAGCTAAAGAAACCCTGATGCCTCATGAGATCCCAACAAGACCATGGCAGATAGTAGGTACAGACCTATTTCATGATGATAACAACGAGTTTCTTACCGTCGCAGACTACTACTCAAAGTTTCCGGTCATAAGAGAGTTACCAAAGCCCTGCACAAGTATTGCTGCAATCACAGCTACTAAGAGTATATTTGCAGAACATGGAGTACCAGACAAAATAATCAACGATAATGGCAGACACTTTGATAGCAAAGATTACAGAAAGTTTGCTGAAGAGTGGTGTTTCGACCACACAACCAGTTCACCACATTACCCCCAGTCAAATGCCTTCATAGAAAGGTCTATCAGGACAGTGAAGGGTACCCTAATAAAGTCTAAAGAAGACCATATGGATCCTTATATGGCGCTGCTGTGTCTAAGGACCACACCTATAGATAATTACCTACCATCACCAGGAGAATTACTCAGCGGTAGAAGATTTAAGAGTAACCTACCATGCAAGATGCACAACAACAAATATGACGGAGACAACATCCAAGATAACCTGAAAATGCGTCAAGACAGGTAAGCCCACGACTTGCCACCACTAACAACTGGACAGAGAGTCCTTATTCAAGATCAAACAACAGGACTGTGGACTCCAGGTACTGTCAAGCAGAAGTGCACAGAGCCAAGGTCATACTTAATTGAAACTCCAAATGGTCATGTATTGAGAAGAAATCGACGACACATCTCAGACTTAATTTAATTTTAAAGAAGGTAACCTTTAGAGAAGAAGAAACTAATAGACAGAATGAGACTATAACACCAAATGAACACAGAGAAGTAATAGCTGACACAGGAAACAAGAACCAGCTGAACAACAAAAGAGTTCCTGATAGAACCCCACAACGTAGAAGACCATGTGAGAGATGTGTTCCAATGACATTAAGTGACAGTGTCAGTGATTGTGATAGACATCAGTATCGAACCAGATCAGGCTGAGCTATTCGCAGACCTGATAAATTTAATCTGTGACTGTGTTGATACTCTAAGATCAAGAGTGACTGTTTAAAGTTGATGTTGATAATTTACAAGTTAATGATCAAGTTAGAGTTGTCTTAAAAGTTACAAAGTGATTAAGCTGAAAATTGTTACTCCCTGTGAAGATATCTTGAAGAAGAGGGATGTAACAGATTGACATTAATATACCTATAATAATGTATGATCCATAATTATCCGTCAGGATACTAGCATCTTAGACTACATGAGTCCCACGGCGTGAGTCCCAGTAAGCTGTCAGCTTGTACAGACGTCTCTTAATATATCAGTAAACAGTGATTAACCAAACACTGGACAAAATATCATCCATTCCAAAAAATCCAAAACTTGGAAATACCACCATTCCGATTGGAAATATGACCATTCCAATATTTGGAAAGGTCATATTTCCAAGCTTGGATTTGTTTGGATTTGTTTGGAAATGTTTGGAAATGTTTGGATACAACATGTCATAATCATATCTGTTAAAAGTTGTACAACTTTTGACCTTATGTGAGATTAGTAATGACATGAAAGTAAATAATTAAGAGTATTTTGGCACTATGTACCACGAAAAGACCAAATCATGAGCAAATTTAACTAAAAGAAATTCTGTCATTTAAAGTGGCTACTCTTTATATTTAATTTCTTATCTTCCTTGTCTATAATCATATGACATTGACTTTGAACTTTGAACAATTAAACAAATATTTTGTTTTCCCATACCGCCTTACGGTTGTCGTAGAACAAAGACCGTTTCGAGAATATAGAGGGCCTCATTATTATAATTTGAACTAATATACATATGTACAAAATAGTACTAGGTATAAATGAATTTTGATAAGTGTTCGTACAAGAATATGAACTTTGAATTATCTCGGAATTATGCGCAACACATAGGGCTGAAAATTTTATAATTGTTCTGGAACTATCTGACGGTAATTCAAAACAGGGAACAAGATTTCGTCAAATGAATCATCTAGCCAGGAATGCAACGATTTAAATGCTGACAAAATGAATAAACATATCTGGAACAGAGTAGACTGTTCATGTGGACAATTATATGCTACATCTATTGCCAATGAAGTTTATCACCCCATGTTATAGCATTTGTTTCATATAAAAGATAGAAACCAAATAAATGGGACAATTAGTTGTTATGAATTAGCTTTACCTCTGTGACATATCACACAACTAAATGTGAATATGTTTATCAAATAATCAATTACAGTAATTAACCTAGTGTCCTTATTTATACACAATTTAATTACGTATTGGGGTACAATATATAATACACATATACACGGAATGATTTCTTATTTTGTCAATTTAATCATAACCCAAATCATACAAATCAAAGTGTGAAAGTAGTGACTAACTTTATGATCAAGGGTATAAATACTCAATTGTATCTATTAATCCTAATGGTATAACAATAAATCCTGTGTATATACTGAGCATATTTAGATACATCTGGATCTACGACCGCAGCCATATAATCAATCAAGGAAAGTATATTAGATTGAATTACAAATGTGCTATCACTTAAACAAAATTTTTCGTTATCCACGTAAGCCTAAACCTGGGAGAAATAAAGTTCTGTTCTGTTCTGAAGACGCCGTCATGATTAGTTGGCGCCAGTCTAGACTGTCCAATCAACGTGAATATACAAACCGTGATGTTACTTGACCAGTTGATGACACCTGTCAAACTCAAAGTGCCCCAGGTCCTCCACCCACCATGTGTAATACTTTAGCGTACTTGATTGTTTAATTTGCAGTTATATCACTGTTAGGCTGAGTGATGAGAGAATACATTTTGTTGTTTTTGTTAACGATCGTTTCCATTTTCAACGTGGTAACCTTATAAGTGACTAACTTTAGCATCATGATGAAATGAAACATATTAAAATAATCAGAGGGACTGACGATCGCATGTATCGCATAAATGTCATGCTTGCATTAATTTCATGATTTACTGAAGATAGATTTGAACATTTCTGAGCAACGATCATGTTTGGGTAAGGGAAGTCTCCGCTTGCAATTGGATTCAGTTCCGAGATCGCAGCTTGACTGTTCGGTACGGCCGAAAGGCGGCATCCATGTTGTTCACGCTCCGCTGATCACTGGGCCTCATTTGTCTGTATTCTGCTTATGAGCCGGGATGCGCATGAAACACGGGTGTCAAAACGAATATATTTACCAATTATACGTACGGTCAATTAGCCAGTCCAAGAGACAATACCCTGGTTCTACCACCTTTAGGTGTAATTACGTCGCATGCCCCTGGTTCACGGTTCGTCTGATCTCCCGTCATAAAACCACGATGTTTATTTACCTGGAGCCTCCGACAGCGCCGACTTCTTGTGTACATGTACGTACATGGCAATAAATGGTTTGACAGTTGTTTGACGGAATCAATCAATAATTATTGACACGGTGATGTAATTAAAATTTGTCACTATTCACAACTCCTATTTTTATTTTTCTATTGTTCAGCTGTATTTTCGACCAGTTTTGTATGTATAAAAAATCTTCTCTTGTATTTATAAACCAAACCTAAAAACATTATATAAGAACAATTGTGCTTTTGAACCATAAGTTTTCTATTAAAACAACCATGCAAGTAAGATTTCAGCCGTAATATTACTTTAGTCACTCCACAGATTACACATCTTATATGCTGCAAACGCAGCGAATGTAATGCTACTACGTCACAGCTGCCTCGGTAATTAAGGGCTGGAATGTTTTTGTGAAGGCAGTTAGAGCAGACGAATTTCCCCCCTCGCTGTATAAAGGCGGTCGCTAACCATATATGTGTATTTTTACTGTTTTTGGCTTGATTTGATTGTCCTTTGGTGAAAACAAATGTTCAATTGTGAAAGCAAACCCTTTTCCCCTGAACGTTAAAAGACAGCTGACTTTGTTTTTGTCTGAAATATCAACGTTTGGAGTCGTTTATATATTCGGAAATCCATATTATGGTTAATATTTATAATATAATATGGACAATGGTAAAATTCATTATCACAGTTTAAGTGCTATTCACAAATGTATGTAAATCTACTTCGTGATGAATGAAGCATGGCAATAAATGTATTCATCTGATTCTTCATTTGTTCTGTATTCTTTGACGGGCATGAGTTTCGTTAATGATGATCACTCTCACAGATTTTTTGATTAGAGGATAGGACTTTAACTGGAGAATAGTTATGAAAAATATATATATAAGTATAGGCAGTCTGTGCACATGTGGTGAAACTGATACCTCATTGATTTGCTAATCGGGACTTGGAAATCATAGTCTGTCATAAAATTGATTTTAAAATATATGGTTTTGACTGTAGTACGTCCTGACATCATAATATTATGTTGTAAACAACTTATCTTATCTTATGTTAAGTAAAACAATTATTGATAACTTCCTGTTTTGTAATTAAATGGCAGCTGCCATCCAGCCGAATACTTAATCTTGAGACCTATTAGTTGTCTCATAATTAACCAAAACATAAGCCCAAGAAACCAAACTCTAGCTCGCAAACACCCCTTACTCACCCTATATCCCAAAGAATAACTAACTACCTCAATGAACACCAAACTCAAAATCTTAAACAAAACTGCAAAAAATCAAATATCTTCACCCCTAAACTCAAAATACCCAAAATAGACACAACGCTAGCTAACCAAATAAATAAACAAACCGACCCAAACACAGCTAAAACCACCACACTTGCATACATACATGAAAATTGGCCAAATGGGTGTCACATATACACTGACGGATCTTCAGACCCGATCTCCAACCACACAGGCTTCGGAGTCCATACCACACAACCAGTTATATCCACACAATCTTACCGACTCCCAAACAACCAATCTATATTCACGGCCGAACTTATGGGCATGGCCTCAGCCCTGCATAACCAACAATCTAAAAACAACAATAAAATCCTAATTCTCACCGACTCCCTTAGTGGACTACAAGCCCTCCAAAACAAAAATACCAAAAAACGACCTAAATTAATAAACCAAATACTTTTAAAAGCTCCAACCACCTAACAAAAGCAGGCAAACAAATAACCTTCTTGTAGATCCCCGCCCATGTAGGAATTTACGGCAACGAAAGCGCCGATAAAGCAGCTAAATTATCTCTTAAAATACCAGAAATAAGCCTAAACCTACCCATCTCAAAATCAGAAATTAAAAGTGTAAACAAACAAAAAATAACCAAACAAGTATTTGTCACAGAGTGACGAAATATCCCCCGCCATATACACCATAGTACCAAATATGAAGACAATCCAGCGATTAGTTCTTGAGATATTGTGGCAACACCGTTTTCCAACTCCAAAAACAGATTTGCCTGCTGTGACCTTGAAAATGGGGTCAAGGTCACCAAATCTGACAGGTGTATGCGGTGTCTGTATATACACTATAGTTCCAAATATGAAGACAATCCAGCGATTAGTTCTTGAGATATCGCGGCAACACCGTTTTCTAACTCCAAAAGCAGATTTGCCTGCTGTGACCTTGAAAATGGGGTCAAGGT